CTGCCGGCCGCCATCTTGGTTGGGTTAATTTGCATATAGTCGCTCTGATTGGCTGGTTAGTGTGGCTTAGGACATAGCGAAGGTACGGTCAATTAGCATCTTTGTCTTTTATTAGTGTAGATGAGACTACCGAAAGGTCCTTATGTGGTGCATACTAGCTCAAAAACTGCAGCAAACAACTTCAAACAGGGATGTAGGGTGGATGGATGAGCCAGCAAGCATCAGAAGCCTGTCCTAGATGCCTGGGTGTTAGGTAAACCCAGAAGTTCTTAGAGAAGTGTGTAGTGTGTGTATGGGGAGGAAGGTGGGGGTGGGGGGTGAGAAACATGACATGAGTGAATTTTGTTTCCACTCTGGCAAGCTGTAGGCCAAAATAAAAATTAAGTTGAATTACTAAAAATATTTCTTTCACACTTGATTGCTGTAGACTGAAATTTATACCCACTACATTCATAAAACTATTTTCTAACTCAGTGCCATCCCTGCCTCCCCACCCTCTCTCAGCCACTTCATGTATCTCCTCTCCCCACCACCCTATCTACATTTATTCTTTTCCAGAATTTTAATAGTTATCTTCACTTGATTATTTTTCCAGGTTACATTTAGTAGCACATAAATCGTTATCTTTATTGGACTGTGTTTTAAAACATTGTGTACAAATAGAAAACTTGAGGTTCAGTAAGGCCAACAGATCTGGAGACAATTACCCTTGAAAAAAAAGTTTCTTACTCACAGTTCCCAAGAGAAGAATGCCACACCATCGAGGGTCACAGGAGAAAACACCCAGGTTGGTCTCAGGCAGAGAGGAAGTGGGCTGAGAGCTTACTGTGGTTTCCTTGGGAAGGAAGAAGAGAGAAAGGGTAAACAGTTTAGGATTGGCTAGATTAAATAATTCCCCTTGTTCAGAGGGGCTGCCCCTGGTTGTGTGGATGTGGCCCTGGGGTGATTAGGGCAGGGTGATAATGGGAAGAGGGAGGTTGGAATTATGGACTGGTTAGTTTGCATACAAAAAGAGAGTTGTTTGTGTTCTCTAAGAATTATCTAACTTGGGAGGGACAGGCCCTCTAGAGCAGTGGTTCTCAACCTTGGCTGCACATTAGAATCACCTGGGAATCTTTTTAAATCCTGATTTCCAGGCCTCATCCTCCGGAAATTTTGTTTCTTTATTA